TCAATCTATCCATCTATTAGTTATTTCTAAATTAGCAATTGACTGGAAAAGAAATAGCATGGCTTGCTGAGTATTCAAAAAAAAATCCAATCTTTAACCATTATCGGTTTGGTTCAACCTTTCGAAGCGCTAAATTCCATCAAATCTAATTTCACTATCAACTTGGTTCAATTTTTTCCTTATTCACGTGGTTCTTTATCTCCTTTAGTAGTCCTTTTTACCCTTTCCCGACACTCTTTTTTATAGTATTTTTATCAAAATCTCTTCAAGTTTTCATATCTTTTGAGCTGTATAACATTGTTCGAATATGACAAATATGCACTTACTAATTATTATTTATAGTTAGTGCATGCTATAAATTACGGATAAATATTTTTTGCATCCTTAATACTTTGGAGTGAACAATTAAGCTTTATAGACTTATTTTAATCCCATATAGGGCTGTTTGGCTGTTTTTAATATGCAAAAATATTAGGGCAAGTAAAAATGACATATTCAACTAGGATTGAAAACTACAATAATTATGAGCAAAACCAGTTTAAAATTGAGAGATCTTATCAGCGGGTGTCACATTTGGCTTTGGGGCGCCGTCACATAGTCTTCACACATTTCAATCTGCGCCCCAACCCCCCACCCTGCACCCCCCACCAAAAAAAATGTTACCGTTGTTGCTTATATAACCAATAAGTACTACCCCATTTGAGCCCATCTATGTAATAAACTATTCAACTTGAGTTTAGTCCATAATTATATGAGCAATAATTATATTTTTATTTTTAGATAAATAAGTAATTGCAGTTTTCCCTTAATTTTATTTTAATTTTTTCCATCATTGCTTTGATCTATCCTGTGACGTAAATGTAACCTTAAAAGCATCTTTTTACTGAACATACACGACGACGACACTCTTATGCTCGTCGAACAACGTATAGATCTCTAGCTCCCATAGTCATAACAAATAATTGAGTTACCATTTAGTACCAAATAAACGAAACTCAACATATTGATGTAGGATGCTTAACTGACAATTTCATGGGGATGCAGACAATCACGAGCTAAATACAGATTTATACGTATTATTGACATCCACAAAAAAAATAATCATATCTTCCAACCCAGAAGGCGAATTCTAACATATTATATATGTATATCATCTATCTCGATGAGACAGAGCAAACTAGATTGTCAGATTTTTAAAATCTCATCAGTTACACATAGTTTTAACTAAAATCTGAAAATAATCAGCGTTTAGTTTATTTTTAGTAATAAAGTTGGAGTCTATTTAGATTAGGAAATAAATTTAATTTTAGAGTCAGACTAGATTAGGAAACAAATTCAATTTTGATTCATGATTTGTTTCCTTTATTATAGGAAGTCTTTTTAGGATAAAATTTGATATTTTCTATTTCTTTGTAATTCTAGTCTTACTGGGAGTCTTATTTGTTTTTCTATTTAAAAGGAGTCATGTAACCCCAAAGGAGAATAATAACTTTGAATCAATAAAATTTCTCTTTTCGATATTTTCTTTGTGGATACGAAAGTCTTATTTGTTTTTCTATTTAAAAGAAGTCATGTAACCCTAAAGGAGAATAATAACTTTAAATCAATAAAATTTCTCTTTTCAATATTTTCTTTGTGGATACGAATATTGTTCTTTGTGAATTTAGAGAACACCCTTGGTGGATTCCGAGGCTATCACTTTCGCGCTGTGTTAATTGGTATCAGAGTATTGTCCCTCCGATCCGATGACATGTGATGAAGCCCCTATTTTTCGAACTGAGTTCGACGTGCTGAAAACTGATGTTAATCAGATGAAGATTGCAGTAGAATGACTTACGTCGGCAGTAGAGCGTCTGAACACGAGAGGGGGTTTGAAATCGCGTTGATGGTCGTCAACGACGTGATTCAACTCCACATGATGAATTCAACAGCGACAATGACCCTAAGCAAGACCTTGGAGTTAGGAAGAGCACTAAAGAAGGAATAAAGAAAGAAGAATCGCCTCCGGAGCACAATATCTTCTGCACGAGGTGCACTGTGATGCAGAAGATTTATGATGTTATTATTAACAATCATAGTAGAAAGAATCTTGTCTCTCAGCGTATGGTGAATAAGTTAGGTTTGAAGACAGAGAAGCACCCACCTCTTTATAAGATCGACTGGATTCACAAGGATAATGATGTGCAGAATGATGAGATGTATTGTGTACCTTTTTCTATCGGTCACAAATATTTTGATGATGTGTTGTGTGATGTGGTTGAGATGGATACTTGTCATATGCTTTTAGGTAAGCCATGGCAATTTGATATTGGAGCTACCCACAGAAGTAGAGACAATGTTTATATCTTCAAGAAAGATGGACGCTGAATTGTACTTCTGCCTCTTATAGAAAAGGAGTCATCTAAGATGAAAGCTACTGAGGAAAAGAAACCTTTGGTGGCAAACAACAAGACTTTAGAATAAAACTTGAAGCAATCTGAAGAGGTCTATGACTTGGTTGTAACTGAAAAAGAAGAACATGCCCCTACCGAAATTCCTCCTAAGGTGAAAATAATCGTTATGCATGAGATTCATTATGGTGATATGATAGTGAAGATGGATGATATGCATGATATTCTCAAAGGGGTTAAGAGTGATATTACACATATTAATGTTGTCCCGATGGAGGAGAATGATAAATTCACAAAAAGACTCCCTATAATAAATGAAACAAATTGTGAATCAAAATTGAATTTGTTTCCTAATCTAATTTGACTCTAAAATTGAATTTATTTCCTAATCTAAATAGACTCTAACTTTATTATTAAAAATAAACTAAAGGCTGATTATTTTTAGATTTTAGCCAAAACTGGGTGTAACTGATGAGATTTTAAAAATCTGACAATCTAGTTGCCTCCGTATCGTCGAGATAGGCGATTTACATATATAATATGTTAGAATCCGCCTTCTGGATTGGAAGATATGATCATTTTTTGTGGAGGTCAATAATACGTATACATCTGTATTTAACTCGTGATTGTCTGCACCCCCCATGAAATTGTCAGTTAAGCGTCCTACATCACATATCTATGAACAAATATGCATAAATGGACCAATTTGATTGCCACAAATACAAGACGTGCTGTCTAGATCCAAACAGGGTTAAAAACCTACGGCCCAACCCCATTCAAAGAGCGGGCTGACTCTTATGCAGACGCTTTCCATGTGCAAAAGCCCCACACCGAAAGCGACCCGTCACCTTGGGCGTAGCTGTCCCACGATGCACCCACTAAACACCCAATTCATGGGCCCAAGCCCTCATGAACGAATGCCAGATGCCCACACAACCGACGGTCGTGATGACTTGTTTTCATTTTAGGAAACCTTTTGAAGGGAATCTGCAGGGTTCGATCTTGCCTGAAATAGGGAGACCACAACGTGACACTTTAACGTTTGATTAGACACAGTTTTGACGTCGGATCCTTAATGGAGGCAGTGCATAGAGTGTTGTGGGCTGTTGATTTGATTGGTGATGGACTGGTTGGTGTTTTTTAAGGAGTCGGGTGTCGTGTCACCGCCGGTGAGGATAATAATAGATGTAATCTTCTTCGAGAAACAATACTTTTGATTTTGTTACTGGAGAAGACTGGAAACAGTAAACATTGATTTGGACAGTGATGGAACGCACACAGAGTAGTAAAATAGTTTGATGTGGAATCAATATTGACATGACTTTTGATTTGATTGTGGGTGGATTTTGTCTGGAGACAGCCTTATCCTATTATTTAGAGAAGTTGGGCCTGGGCCATCAGTATTTGTACGAGTAGTGGACGATTATATCTGGGCTTTCAGATGGGCTTGGTTTTTTGACTACGCTCCTGCTTCGTAATGTGTATATTGGACACACGTAAAGCCTAGAAATTAAGATTGTTAGTAGCTGGTTGCCATAGGTTCTGGGGAGGTTCTTATGGAAAAGTTATTGTATAAAAAGTTTGATTCCAGTGGTTATCACAAAACTATCTATTTTGTGAAAGAAATCATCCTATTTTTTGATAATATAGTCATACTATTTTTGATAATATAATCATCCTATTTTTATAGTGTAAAGTATGAATAATTTTTGAAAATGCAATGCCGAAAGTATATTATGGTTGTATGGTATTAAACTACTAAGGATCGCCCGGTGTGAATCCCTTTTATGGAGATCAATACCCAAAAATAGCTCTACAGAACCAGATACGAGCCCATTACCGCGCCGAGTGGGCTTAATTCGTAGGACATTGACCCGACCCACAAGTACTTTACGAAACCCATTGGTGAGGTTACCGCACTCTCTCTCGCGGGCAATTGGCTTTTGCCCTGTTTGGATGGAGGGTAGAAAGGGGGAGGGGAAGAGAAATGAGGCTTTCACCTTGTTTGGGAGTTTTTTTAAGGAGGGTAGAGAGGAGGAAGGAAGGGGAAAGGAGGGTAAAATTGCTTGGTTTTCTTCCCCCCCCGATTTGGGCGGTTTTCTCCCCCCCCGATTTGGACGGTAGAGGAGGGTAAATGAGGGTAAAGGAGTGTAATGACATTCTTACCCCCATCAAAACAAATAAAATGGCTGATGTGTTATTAGTATAAAGTCATTTATGTAAATTTACATATATTTACTTCCTTTCACCTTCTTTCACCTTACTCAACTCCCAAACAACATATTACAATTCTCTTCCCTTCCCTTCCCGTTGTTTACCTTTCCTTCCATTCCCTTAGGGCTTGTTTGGATTGAGGGGAATAAGGGTGAAGGAAAGTTAGGGGAACCATTCACCTTGTTTGGGAACACTTAGGAGGTGAAGTTAATTCACCTCCATTCACCTTAATTCACCCCCTAATAGTATAAAAATTGTTACCCCCCAAATTGGGGTGTAACCAAGGGGAAGAGAATTCCCTTCTCTTCCTTTTCCTTCACTCAGTTTCCCTTAACTTCCCTTCACCCCTACAAATCCAAACAGGCCCTTAGTAAACTCCCAAACACACCATTTGAGTCTTTGACTCGAGGGCGAGTCCAGTAAAGTTACCGCACTCTAACCCCAGATCGGATCCAATGATCGATCCAGTGCGAGTTCCGGCATTCAGTCGCCTGTTCTTAACTGAAACCTCGCAGCTATTTAAACCCACGGGCCCCCCTCCCCCAAAATACGCAGCCTAATTCAGGGGCCAGGGCTTAGGGTTTTTCGTCGTCTTTTCCATCGATCTCAGCGCCCAATCAGTTCATGTAGATCTGTTCTCTAATAAACTTCAGATCGAGGAAATGGCGTTCGGTAATCTCTTGGTTTGCTTCTTGATCGGTCTCTCCATCTCGTCGACGGCCGGTGAGTCGATCTATGGCTGCGGCGGATTCGTTGAGGTGAGAAAATCCTTTAACTTCCTCGAATCTGATAGATTTCTTTCATTGTTGTTGCTGATCTTTGGAGTTCTTGCGGTTTTGTTAGGCGACCTCAGCTCTGATCAAGGGGAGAAAGGCTTCTGATGCGAAATTGGACTACTCACACATCACTGTATGTGATGTACATTTGATTTAGCTGTTAATTTTAGTATGGAGAGATTGAGTTATTATTTTGCTACAGAGTTTACTTGTTTATTGCAGCGTAGTGTATCAGTTGTTGCTGAATTTATTTAGATGAAGCTAATTTAGTTGACATGAAGTGACGCTTAGTCTTCCAAGCATAAGATTTGAATGATAGCATAGAATTTTAATTCCCCACCCCCCCACCCCCCTTATATTGAGACGAAAATGTGAACTAGCTATTTGATGGTCGATTAAATTCTCTACAAAATCTCCCTTGCGAAGTGTGGTGGCATAATAAATCCTTAAGGTTCTTCAGACGGTACTGCAAGTACAGGGCACATCAGTAGTTGATATAGTTGAACTGGAAATCTGTTTTCATATTGGTTAAAGATTCCTTGGCACTCGGTGAATCTTTTTCTTGTCGATTGTGTCTAAAGCAAAACTGAGGCTTAGTTACAATTCATTGAATTTTTTGATTGTCGATTGTGTCTAAACCTGTAGTTATATTGTTAAGCACTTTAATGTGTAGAAATTTGTAGTGTAAATATTTTCAGTATAATTGATGTAATTATGTATGCTCATTCTTTTTAATTTTTTTTATTTAGTAGTTAATCCAATTATTGTGGGAATCTAAGGTTTAAAATGATGCTCTTAGGGGTTGTTTGATTCATTTCGTAGAAACCTAAATTTGGAAGATTACTAATGAGAAATAGGTTGTGGGACTTATTTCCATGTTTTCAAGCCTATTTCATGACTTTTTGAGAGGAAATGAGTTTTCTTAAATTTAGGACCCATGACATTATTATCTTATTAGTGAGTGGGTCTCACATGCACAGGCACAATATTATTTTCCCTCTCTTAACCAAACACAAGAAAAAAAAAATCAAACACCTTCACATGAGTGTGTCGGGTGTTTTGATTTCCTTTTCTTAGTTTCACAGCCAACCAAACAGCCCCTTATTGGCAGAAAACTTGGAAATGCCAAATGGGTACCAGTTGCAAGCAATTGTTTACATGTAGGGCATGGTAGTTGAATTTTGGGCCATTTGCAAATTTAACCGCATGAAAGCTGCATGTCAACTATTTGATTTGTAATTTTTGGAATGCGATCTTGTGGCTATGACCACGTTTGAGGATTAAGTACCATAGTTGCATTGCGCTTAAAATAAGTCAACTACAATGTGTTAGCTACATGACGTTATAACTGCAAAATCACACAAAGTGTGATTATAGGCATTGATTCAATTATGAAGAATGACATGAGTTCTTAGAACATACAGTTGCCAAAGTAATCTAGCCTGACAATAGAACACAATATTAGCTGCAGTAGCTGGTTAACGCAACGCAGAAGTGATAAACCTCAGAAGCCACCAAGGGGTGGTATCTGAATCCATAAAGAACGATCTCCAAATCCACGAAGAAAATATTAAAAGAAGAATTTTATTGATAAAAAGTTATACCTCTAGGGCTTACAATACTCTGCTTAAATAGAAAATAAAAAGACTACTACTATAACTCAAACTTGACCAAAAATAGAAATAGGAAAACTCTTCCTAAAAGACTCTAGGATTAGGGACGTCAATCGATCAAATTTAAAATGAAACCGGATTTGCTTCCTAATCAAAACAGACTCCTAAAAAATTACCTAAAATAGTAAAAAACTGATAAAAACATTAATATCTCTCAATCTGCGGGGAATTTGGCGAAAAGGACGGCGGCAAACCGAACATCGGTGGGTTTGGTTGATTCCGTCTCGAAAAAATACGCGATTTACATATATAATTTGTCTAATTCTGACATACTGTTTGAGAGATATGACCCGTTCTTCGTTGTAAGTTATTTTCCTCGACCGGGTCCGTGTTTGGGCTTGTGTCGGTCCCGCTTCTCCATAAATATATCCACAATATGTGCTACATCAGTTTCTCCCACTTGAAAAGAGCTCTACCCCGAGCTTATATATACATGAAGAGTTGTTCCATTTGGTGGGTAATACTCAAACAAATCTGCAACATTGAAACTAGGAGAAATAGCCAAATCTGTAGGAAGGTCAACGATATAAGCATTGTCGCTAATCTTCTTCAGTATTTTGCGTGGGCCATATTTTTTATTTTTCAGCTTGTTATAGGTGCCCACTGGAAAACGTTCTTTTCGCAGAAACACCATCACCATGTCTCCCTCCTCAAATACATTCTTCCTCTTGTGCCGATCAACATCCGTCCTATATTTAGCATTAGACTTCTCTATCTTATCCTTCACTTCCTGTTGGATAGCATGTATCGTCTCCACCATATGATCTGCAGGAATACTCTATTCTAGAAGCTTAGGCAGTGGAACTTAATCAAGATAATGGTTCAGAAGCCTTCTATGTACAATCACAAAGGGAGTCTTGCCTGTAGTTCGATTATTCATACCGTTATATATAAATTCAGCATGTGTCAGAGCAAGATCCCACTGCTTCGCATGGTCGTCAGAGATGGATTAAGGTCACTGAGAGTGCGATTTACCACTTCAATTTGGCCGTCCGTTTGAGGGTGGTGAGCAGTACTGAATTTAAGTGAATTATTAAATCGTTGCCACAAGGTCCTCCAAAAGTGTGATAAGAACTTAGAATCACGATCAAAGGTGATAGACTTTGGCACCCCATGAAGATGTACTATCTCTCGGAAGAAAATGTTGGCAATGTTGCTAGTATCTGCTATTTTCTTGTATGGAATAAAATGTGACATCTTTAAAAATCTGTCAGCCACAACAAAAACAGAATTCATATATCGTTGGGTTCTAGGGAGTCCTAACAAAAAATCCATCGAAATATCATGCCATGACGTATCAGAAATAGTTAAGGGTGTATACAATCTTGTATTTTGGGATTGTCCCTTAGCAACTTGACAAACTGGACAACGTCACACATATTTTTCTGTCCTATTCTTCAGCTAAGGCCAGTAATATCTCTCTTCAATGGAAGCAATCGTCTTTTCACGTCCCAAAATGTCATAACCCAACATGAAGGTCTCGTATTATCTGCTCTCTTAGTGAACTCTGGGGTATGCATAATTGATCTCAATTAAATAAATAACCATTCTAGATATGAAAATTTCTGACTAACTGATTTTGTTGGCAATCGTTCTAAATCTCTTTGAAGTCTTCGCCTTCTGCATAGGGCTCCTTTAGGTATTCAAATTCAGCCACTTCTGCCTGCAAAGTTACCAACATATCAACTCTCCGATTGAGTGCATCTACAACCTTATTATGCTGCCTAGACTTGTGCTTCAAAACAAAAGTGAAACATTATAGAAACCCGATCCAACGAGCATGCATACGATTGATGGTCGTATGACTATTGATGGACTTCAAAGCCTGATAGTCAGTATTAAGCAGAAACTCTCGCAAGATCAAATAGCGTTTCAAATGCTTCAAAGACTGGACTATGGTATATAACTCTAGCTCATATGTGGTCCACTTCTGTCGAGCTTCGTTGAGTTTCTCGTTATAGAAATAGAAATCAATTGGACGCCTTTTTTGGGATAGAACACCACCAATTCCTATGATGAACACATCACAATCAACTTCAAACACCTTTTAAAAATCTGAAAGTGCAAGCACTGGTGCTGTGGATAAATTCTCCTTGATTAGTGTAAAGCTACGGTCTGCATCTTCCCTCCAATTAGTGATAGGCGCTACAATAGTGCTAAAATTTTTGACAAAAAGTCGCTTGACCATGAAAGCTACAAACTTCACTGACAGTCTTCGGTGTAGGCCAATTTCGAATAGCACGTACCTTTTCCTCATCAACATGGATGCCCTTTGTACTGACAATAAAGCTCAAGAATAATAGGCTACTGGTCATGAAGTCGCACTTCTTCAGATTGATATACAACTTGTTCTCCTTTAAAGCCGTTAGTAACTCCCTCAAGTGGTCCATATGCACGGACTCATTCTGGCTATAAATCAGGATATCATCGAAATAAACTACAACGAACTTGCTAAAAAAAGGTTTTAATACCTGATTCATCAACCGGATGAAAGTGTTAGGAGCATTGAAAAGGCCAAAAGACATGACCAACCATTCATACATGCATTCTCTTGTCTTGAAGACGATCTTCCACTTATCTCCTTCTCTAATCTGAATATGATGATAACCACTCTTGAGATCAATTTTGGAGAACACTTTTGATCCAGACAACATATTTAGCATGTCTTATAGTCGAGAGATAAGAAATCGATACTTCACGTAATCTTATTGATAGCCTTACTATCCATACACATGCGCTCTCCGTTATTCTTTGGGATAAGTAAGGCCGACACAACACACAACCTCATGCTAGATCGAATAAAGCCTTTCTGGATGAGTTCGTCCACTTGTTTCTGCGAAATCTCCCTTTCTTTTGGGCTCATCCGATAGTGCGGCATGTTTGGTAAGTGTGATCCAGGTACGCAATCAATTTGATGTTGAACATCTCGAAGCATTGATAATTCGGGAGGGAGTTCGTCAGGTATAACTGTGTCAAATTGTTACAAGAAGGTTTGTACTTTAGGTAGAATTTTGGTGGGAGCATAATCCTTGTTTCTTGATACAACAAGAGCATAAACCTCGTCAGACTTTTAAATCTTTTATAAAATCTTCATTGTCAACGACCCAAAAGGTCTTCTTTTCAGCAACATATGTTTTGATTACCCACTTCTCTGTAAGAGGCATGAGCATAACTCGGCGACCATCCTTCTTAAAGATATAAACATTATTGTTCCCCTTGCGCGTGACATCAACATCAAATTATCATGGCTTGCCTAATAGCATATGACAAGCATCCATCTAAACTATATCACACAATGCCTCATCAACATAATTTTGGCCAATAGAAAAAGACAACCGACACACCTCGTCAATCTGCACATCGTTACCTTACGAATCCAACCAATCTTGTAAGGAGTAGGATGTTTCTCGGTCTTCAAACCTAATTTATTCATCATTCGCCGAGAGAATATTTTCGTTACTACCACTATCAATGATAACATAACAAGTCTTCTGTTTCACGGTGCACCGAGTGCAGAAGATATTCTACCTTTGTAGTGGTTCTTCTGTCTTCGGAGCCAATAATAGTCTTCGCACAGCACACGAGAGTTGATCCCCATCATCAAGATCCACCCCATCACCTCTATAGTCTTCATCATCATCTTGGTCTATATCCTCCCCTTCATGATCCACCATATTCACAACACTTCTTTTAGGGCACTGATTGGATCATGACCAGGTTGACCACCTCTGTAGCACTTGATTGGATCGGGTTTGACATATGAGTTCAATGATGTAGCCTTCTTTGCTGTTGGTTCTGTACCTTTCACAACTACAGCATGTTGATCAGAAGCGAATTGAGAACTGTTTGTTCCCACCACGATTAAAGCTCGTGCGCGAGTCATTAGAAGCTGTCCACGATCCTCTATTATTCAGTTCAAGTTGTCGCTCGACCTTTTCAGCTAGGCTAACTGTGTCTGCCAAAGTATATGTCTGCTATAAAGATACATGATCTTGAATTGCTATCCTCAATCCCCCTGTATATCGAGACATCTGTTGGGCCTCATTCTCATTTAAATTGTTGCGGGATGACAGCCGATAAAACTCCTGCGTGTACTCATTAGCTGTTCTTCCATCTTGTTTGCAATTTTGATATTATTCGAACAAGACCTGTTCATAATCGCCTAGGAAGAAACGAGCTTTCAGTAATTTATTCATCTTCTCCCACCTATTGATTTTCGATTTTTCTTGACGGGATCGACTCATGCATACTGATTCCCACCAAGCTGATGCTCCACTTTTAATTCGGTAGGCCACTAACTTAATCTTACGCTCGTCTGAGATCTCCAGATACTCGAAGAACCTCTCCAACTCTACAACCCTATCAAGAAACACTTTGATATAAAGTTACCCGTTAAAAGATTGCAGATGCATCTTCATCTTGAACCCTCCAGCATCATAGGTATCCCTTTGTCAGCGGCCTTTGCAATCATCACCGCAGCGTGGGGCTTCATAGTTATCATCGTTGCTGTTGAATTCATCATGTGGAGTCAAATCACGTCGCTGGCAACCATTAACGCGATTTCGAACTTCCACCGTGTTCAGACGCTCCACTGTCGACGCAAGTCGCTCCATGGCTGTCTTCATCTGATTAACATTGGTCTTCAACTCATCGAACTCAGTTCGAGAAATAGGGGCTACGTTGCTTGCCATCTGATCGGAAAACAAGTCTCTGATACCAGTTAAAGCATCGCATAAGTGATAAACCTCGGAATCCACCAATGAGTGTTCTCTGAATCCACATAGAACGATCTCCGAATCCACGAAGAAAATATTAAAAGAGGAATTTTATTGATAAAAAGTTATGCCTCTAGGGTTACAATACTCCGCTTAAATAGAAAATAAACAAGACTTCTACTATGACTCAAATTTTACCAAAAATAAAAATAACAAAACTCTTCCTAAAAGGCTCCCTCCATAGGATTAGGAAAGTAAATCGGTCAAATTTGAAATCAAACCAGATTTGCTTCCTAATCAAAACAGACTCCTAAAAATTACCTAAAATAGTAAAAAACTGATAAAAATGCTGATACCTCTCAATTTGGATGGAATTTGGTGAAACGGACGGCGACAAACCGAACATCGGTGGGTTTAGTTGACCCTGTCTTGAAAAAATACGCGATTGACATATATAATTTGTCCAATTCTAACTTACAATTTGAGAGATATGATCCGTTCTTCGTTGCAAGTTATTTTCCTCGATTGGGTCTACGTTTGGGCTTATGTCGGTCTCGCTTCTCCATAAATATGTCCGCAGTGTGTTCTACATCAGAATGTATTGCAAGTCCAACTACAGACAACCGGATACGTACACCACTAATTTGTTTGGTGAGTAAATGCGATCCAAACAAAAAAAATTATTTAGTAGGTTGTCAGAATTATGGGGTTCGAATCCTGTACTGAGAACAAAAAAATAAAAAAAATGTACGCCTACCCGAACTACAACATTTTGAGAAACTGTCATTTTATCAGTATTTAAATGTTTACTGTTCATTTCGGAGTTATCATGCAAGCCGTTGGGATGTTTGGTGTGGTACACACAATTGGAAGATCGTGATAAATGTGACCAACTGTGTGCAAGGTGCTATTTATTTTCTGAATTCCAGCCCTAAGCATTTCATGTTCAGTGATGGCTACAACAGGAGGTGCATTTTTGTTTTTAACATTATAACCATTACATCTCAAACTTCTCCAAAAGTATCCTCTTTTTATGTAAACCCAAAATAAAGTCCTGTATGCATCACAAGTCTCCTATATTCGAGGTCAAAAAAATGAAAATGTAATAATAATACTAGCATAGACCATACAATGAGATTCAAACAAACCGCTGAAGAGCTCCTATTATTGCACTCCTAATGAAGACAAAATAAGGATTTAGCCACACTCCACACTACTCTGAAAAACATGTAATATATTGCATGAGCTCTAAGCATAACAAGTGACTGTCACCTCATGTTTTCAAATAACGCATGGAATACTGTTTCTTGTAAGTCTAATCGTAATTCATATCAATATGAATGACTAAGCAATTGAATGCAAATACGTACTATGTTTCAAAATGTTTTTGTACATTATAATTTAGGCAACTCATATTCTGATGCAGCCAACACATAACACCTTCATTTACATGAATCTACCTCTACTCACAAGTCGTGCCTTGCCTCGCTTATCAAAGGCCCACATAAATAAAACACCCTCATGGAAGAACATTGAGATTTGACATTGCTTTTTCTCTAGTTATACTGGCATATTCATACGTGATGCACATACTACATGAGCAACATGCAATCATGGAAATTATGGATTCATACCAGCCATGATCAAGAATGACTAGTCAACTGCAGATGTTGTTGAGTGCCAGGAGCTGTTTCCAGGGGTTTGATAAAATAACTAGTTAGATATGATAGCGAGTTAAGCTTTTAACTTTTCTACAATCTATTTCAGCTACACTTTAGAAACCTGATTTACTCGAAGGTATGCATATACAATTTTAAGGAAGTATTTATCTAGTGAAACTGAAACTCCTATATCTTATCCATCATCATCAGCAATAACATATCTCTGCCTGTCAAAATGTGCCTTGACCACCAGTTCCAAACTGAGAGAATCCTTCAAAAAATTAGGCAATTTATGTTTCTTGTAGAACTTATATTAGACATCATATAACTGCTAAATCTGGCCGAGGATGGGGCGGTTTCTATAAAGCATAGAAGCTAGCTGACTTGGAAAGAAATCTGTACCAGTTCTCTAGTTTAAGCTCGTGTAGCCAAAGCAGCCCGATGACCCTTCTAAATTCTCATTTTCTTAGAGTTTATGCGGGAGGTTGAGGATTTTGCTAGAACCAGTGAGGAACAGGATCTGAATGACACAAGGTACTTGCTGATGATACAAACTAAACATGTTCCCATAACTCATCGGTTATCCTTATACATAGATGTGACATTTTATGGCTATGTCTATTGAAAGCTATTGGAAAATAGCTGATATTCTTCGTGATATTTTTGTTTGGAATAGTTATTTTATGCAATAAAACCATATGATTCTTTTACTTTTATTAATTATTATCCAATAATATACAGGTCGAGCTTCGAACAGTTGATGGACTGGTTAAGGAGAGGACTCAATGTGCTCCAAATGGTTACTATTTTGTTCCAGTTTATGACAAGGTACTGTTATTTTTTTTCCTCTTGCTTGAAATGGTTCTTCCTCTTTATTTTATTTTGATGGTCAACAAGATGATTCTGATTTCACTATAGTAGTAAAAATACAATGCCAAAGATCTATTTTGTGTTGACAATTAATTAGTACTATTTGTATACAAAGGTAAATCATTGACCATTATAGAAGAGTTCCCAAGGTTTTTGCGTGATAGAGTATCCAGAGATTCTTATAAACCCGTGATTCTGCCCTTTAGTTATTTGGATCTTTGCTTAAAAGAATCTATTATCTCGTTTTCCAGATATCTCTGCTAAAAAAAACTCAATAACTAATGCTTAGTGTGCATGAGATGCTTTCTTTTCCTAGATACATAAGGTTCCTTCTTATGCTGTTATTTGATTGTGAACGAAAATTTATTGGCAGACTGAAAAAACATGGCATATGATATTTAGGCAATAAATTTATGACGTGGGTTTAATTAACCTGAATTCATTCCTAGGTTTTAACATTAGTAGCATCTCTCCCAGTATTTGAACCAATACTTCAACTGCCTAAATTTACCTATATCTATGAGTTCCCTCACTATGCTTCTTTTGGATCATTATCACTCAATATTTTAGATATTCCTCTTCTCAATGACACACTTTTGCTTTCTCCTGTTATTCTCCAGACATGCTAATTGATTTTGTGCACAGGGTTCATTTATTGTCAAAGTTAAGGGGCCTGATGGTTGGTCTTGGGATCCCGACAATGTGAGTTGATGGCTGAACCATACGTCCTAATCCTTCCACTACTTGCAAAGGACTTTAGCGTTGTGTACTCATCAATATGCAGGACTTTATTTCTTTTAGTTTCTTTCCTCAAGTATGGTTGGATTGTGTGTCAAACTGCAGGTTCCTGTTATTGTTGACCAAAGTGGGTGTAATGGCAATGCAGATATCAATTTCCGATTTACAGGGTCCGTGTCCTATGAATGTTCATTTTCCTTACAATATCTGTTTAAATTGAATAGATTTTTCATACTTTATTTGTTAGGCAACTTCTCACCTAGTGGGAATTTGTTTCATGTAGATTCATGATATCAGGAAAGGTCTTGGGAGCTGTTGGTGGACAGAGTTGTTCTGTGAAGGATGGAGGACCATCTGATGTAAAGGTCGATCTCCTGTCTCCTTCCGACGATCTTATTGCATCTGTTTTCACATCAGCACTAGGGCAATATTCCTTTGCAAACATTATTCCAGGTTTGTGATGTTTATACATTGATTAATTGCTTAGTTGGGAAGTTCATTACAAACCATTTTACTCCTTGCCTCACATTTTAACTCAAACTGTGGTTGAGTTTAGAAAATATTCTTGGAAGTACTAAAGACAGGAAACAACCAAGTGAAGATCATTCCTCCGAGCATTTCCTTCAACCTTCTGATAGCCTGTTTTGGTTCTTTGCTTTTGCTTCCTTGATTGCTATGTTTCTCATTTTATGTAAATTTTTCGTGAAATCGCAAATTTTGTTGATTGTTCTGACTATTATAGGATTTCAAGAAACGTGATTATGAAAGGTATGTGTTAGCTTCATCCAGGTCAATAAAGTGATCTAATTTGTAAGTCAATACCCTTATCCATTTTGCGGGGTTTGTCTAAGAACCAACTATTTCAAGAACCAGAACCTGAACTTGGTTAACCTATTGACCGGCACTCAGGTTGAGCCTGCTACACCATTTACATAATTCTATATTTTTTTCTTCAAATATTTGCAGTCTGCAATTGGAGGAAAAAATTATGAGTGTGTTTGATGTTTGTGTCTTTAAGATAGTAAGACACCTTGCTTTATGAAGTATTACTGTAACCCTTCCATTTTAGCTAGATTCTGAATTTCTCACTTTTCTTAGGTTGAATAAGAGCCTTATCTTGTATTATAGTGTTATTTGGGTCAGTAGAGGGTGGAATACTAGAATCCAGTTATAGTATATACTTGTAAATGTAATGTATTGATGAGATGAAACTCTAGGTCAACAAAATGGATCAGATCCCCTTATAATCATTACCCACCGATTTATCAAATAGCACGGAGATTAATTGATACTGTCCTGCCAAATTCAACTTTGTTTTGTTTGGATCATATCTCGATTAGATTGGGTTCAGGCCCCACTAACCAGTTACTGGCCTAAGTAGAATGTTCCTTCTGACGTCTGATTTTTTGCAAAATCAACAATATTGTAGCACTTTGTTGCCTTCCCTTTCTTACATGTTAAAAATTAGCTTTAGCTCCTTAAAGAGAGTCCTTTACTTGTCCTTTAGAGAATGGTTAGAGAATGCAGACTTGCAGAGTCATTTACTTGTCCTTCAGAGAATGGTTAGAGAATGCTATTGTGACCTTTTCTTATTCTTGTACCTTTTATGCAGGGAAATACAAATTGCGCGCTTCACATCCTGATTTAGAAATTGAAGTCCGAGGAACACCAGAGGTTAGAAACTTTTTTATCTTGTCTTTTTCTGTGATAGGCAGTTGCTTTATTTACCTATATCTTTTTGATTTATGTAGGTGGATTTGGGATTTGGTAATGCTGAGCTAGATGATATCTTTTCTGTCTCTGGGTATGATCTCCGCGGTTCTGTAGTGGCTCAGGTACCAAAATAACTACCTTATCTTTTTTCTTTATAGGACTTGCATCAAGTGTCTGTTGGTGGTTAATAGAAGTAAACTACACTAAAGTATAAATGCTGAAATCTGTGGAGCTGCTGCTCCTGTAATTTTTTTGATGCTTTGCTATGACTTTGAGCGTAACGGCTCACTACAATCCTGCCTTGCAAATCTGATGTAAATACAAGTGATGGAGTTCTCTGGAACTCTTCTAGAAATATAAAGACTCTTAATGATGACTCTAGGAAACTGACACCAGTAAATGCTCTATTAAACACTGACTATTAAATCCTTGACTCTTGAGTTTTTAGTCTTTTAAGGGCATTAAACACATCAGAAAATACCTCTGAAGAATAAAAGGTTATCTCACAGTGTCAACACATAGTTTACTAGGATTGCATAAGTATAAATATTTTGACTGATATTAGGATGCATAGATGATCATAAGAAACTTTAGACCTCTTATGATTCTGTATCTAGAATTTTGTTCATTATTTTACAGTTTAGTGACTTTAGTCATACACATATAGACTTTTTTTTGTGATGAAATATGAAGACTATTTTGATCGGAAAAGGACTGACATGCTGATTGTAAACACAAGCCTTCATCCCGATTTAGGAAGCTGGTAATGAAGTTGATTACACATAAAACTTGTTATATACTGCATCACATTATTGACGTCTGGGAAAATAATCTGGATACTTCAGGTGTTTTGAATGGAAAACTTTTTGATAGTCACAGGGTTTGAGACCAAGTAGCAAACTTGTATAACAACCTTAACTACTTGGTAGCTTCGTAAACAAAAAAAAAGTGGATAGCCCAACCTGTTTGTATTTTTTATATTTTGGGAATGACAGTAAGCAATTGATTTGGATATAATCTGGATCAAAGCAATTCATTAGAGATATTAATTACTGGGTGAGATGGAAGTATGGAACATAGTTGAGTTATCTAGGTAAAGATTAAAAATGCAAGTTTGGCAGAAAATTGAAATTTGTGCATTACATCAAGCTGATCCATCTAGTCTTATAGATGTATGTATGTATATTATATGTGGGGTATGGTTTATAATACACACGGTGAATCATCACATAGATTTTGGACCTATACATTCTGAAATGGAGAGAAAAAAAAAATCACAGAATCAATATTTCTAGCCTATACATCTCGTGACCTAAAAATGAACAGTCTGCCACAGTCCCAAAACTCGAATTATAGTATAAAATTCCGACCCATGTGATTTTTGATATAGTTGTGTTTGATTACGTGTGTATAACAATGCATATTCAGATAACAATATTGATGGACAAATGTGTTTTTTCATGTGTATGTAACTGAGATAGCTACTAACTAGGATAGCTACAACTTGCATGTATTGTAACCCAACCCGTATGTGTGTGCTTCCGAGTTCGTGCACGTCTATCTGTGCATGTATGCTTGTTCATGTGTTTTTTCATGTGTATGTTATTTTTCTATGTTAATTGTTTGCAGGGAAATCCAATTTTGGGTGTTCATGTATACTTGTATTCAGAGGATGTGTCGTCTGTGCATTGTCCACAAGGTGCTGGTAATGCCTTGAAGGACAAAAGTGCTCTTTGTCATGCTATATCTGATGCAGATGGAAAGTTTGTATTTCGCTCGTTGCCTTGTGGTAATTACCTGTTCTTAAGTGATCCTGGTCGTCTTATATGTTTCTTGTGTGCAAGATTACAAGATTATGAGTTTTATTTTAAACAATATGATGATTTTCCTTATCTAATTTACTATGACATTGTTTCCTCTTTGATGGTTGTTTAAAGTTTGAATGATTTAGAATCTTTGCATCTGTGTTTCCTTTAAACATTTGATAACCAATTAGACAAGTACACTGAGTGATAGTCTGCACATTCTACCAAAATTATTATGGCTAGTTTGCCCTCTCCATAATCAGATCTTATATGGTATGTTTCACGCAAATGTCACATAAATGGTGTCCATAATGTTTCCTGCCCTGGATACACAATGTAGTATCCAATTTAGAGGCCTACCCCTCTAGGTACTTATGTGCAGGGTTGTTGCCAAGACTGCTATATGCTGCCAAGCTTATCTTGCTGCAAACCTTATCCTATGACCAGGTGAATACAGGGTTTTTATGACTGTGATAGATGCTTGAGCTGGACAAAGATGAAGCTGTTCCAGAATTTAGAAAAACAAACACGTGGAACAAAGAATTATACCTTATGAGGCCAAGCGTATGACTCATGAGTCCATTATCTTATGTTTTCAGTCTGTAAAATTATAAAATCTAGTAAGACTAAAAGATTATCTATTAGTCTATATAGACCTTTGCTCTAGCATAAGCTCAAGATATATTTATTTTCTTTTACATTATTTTTCTGTCCAGCCCATTATGATCGACCAGTGTAAGGAAAAAAAAATTATTGACTGTTATTGGAGCCACGAGTCTCATGTTAAAGAACACAGAATTGACAAGAACTGAACACTCCTTTTTTTTTTTCGAAATGCATGCCTAATGTTTCTCAGCACGATGCAGATTAAGCTGTGCGTGGCCTTATTTAATGCAGTTTACCGAAGCCAATTTGCTCTAAAACCTGTAGTACTAGTTTTGTGATGGCCTTTGTCCATTGTTCTAAATGTTGAATATCAGGATCATGCTGGACAGAAAAATTCCATATTGGCTGGCAGGTAACAGAGATATATCTGGGATATTTTTGAAAAACCAGTGTTACATTATATGAGATAGATATTCATACTTGATGCATCAGAGAATGGAGTTGTGAAGAAAAGTTGATATCTTCTTTTCATGTCTGAAGCCAAAAATCACTAAAGAAGCTACTAGTATTTCCCAGTCTACAATTCTATGACTAATCAATTTTGTATAAGTCCATGTTATGCCTTTTTGACATAACTTGAGCTAAAGTTTAACATGACATCCGCGATGAAAACGGGGAGAGATTTACAGTGAGAGAGAGACTTACCGACAATAAGCAATCAAGGAAGAGGGGGCTTATCAGAGCAACAACAATGATAAACGCATTATTTGGTAGAGCCGCAAACAGAGTTTACTTTGAGGCAAAGGGTTGGAAACTATAAGAGCAAGTGAAACATGTGTAAAAGAATTTAATATCTATCGAGCCCTTCTTTTTGCACATTATAAGTGGGTATTGTTTTGTGTCTAGTCTTCTATTGAGCTATAAATCCTAATTTGATCTTTAAAACAAATAAAAACCCAACCAATATTGCAACATTTTGGCCAATTTTTTGGGACTGAAATACTGCTCAATATATGTGCAAAATCCCAATATATTATTGAAAAAATTCCAAAGACTTGGCAAGCCTTAGTGGCTTAAAAACGACATATGAACCAATTTATTGGCCGTGTCGGCCGAAACTTGAAAACAAAACAATGGCACAGTCTCTCCCTTCTCTGTTTATGTTGTATCATGTTGCAATATCAATATCGAAATCAAGAATGTAGACTCAAATCCTGTGACAATTAATGCACTAGTATTCCACTTTCTAAAAGCTTATTTACCCTAAAGACAATTCACGCACCCCCATTCATTATCTTATTTCCAAAACTCTTGCATTTATGGTTTTTGAAAAGGTTATATAACATAGAGTACAGAGATTCTAGTGTTGTATTACGTCTTTCATGTTCAACTGTATTATTGCTTATTTGTGAATCATACACATATCACTATGGTTCAATAGCACTGTGTTCATTTGCGCTGGGCAATTGCCTTGAAATGAATTATCCAACAGTTCGACTTTATCTATCTAAAGGAATAACGACTGGATAATAGTTCTATTTTTCTTGAAGATGATTTCCCCCCTTAAAAATAAAGCTGTGATTTGTGAACTCACATTTTCATTGAGGGGTTTTAAGGTATTGATCCCCTGAAACTTAAGTATTTTCAGATAGGTTCTCAAAGACCTATTATTTTGAGAATAGTCCCCCAAAAGTTATAACTCATCGGTTATCTCAGGACACATTAATATTTTCTGTTCCCATCCAACAAAGGGATACAATGTGACAGCCTAATTTTGTAACTACAGTAAGATCCATGTTGATTAAGTTAACAGAAATAGACCACATACACTTAGTTGGAGGGACTTGAGAGTTTTTGGGGGCTGTTCTCAAAATAATAGGTCTTGAAGGATCTATTTCAAAATACTTATGCTTTGGGGGACCAATATTTAAAAAAACCTTTCATTAAATAAAGCTACTGTTTAGGTGTTGTATTGATTGCATCGTGAACTTTTTGTTGTGCTGTATTTTCATTGTTATTTCTATTCTTTTTCTAATTTTCTTTTATGTTGTTGTAGGTGTTTATGAGCTTCTACCTTACTACAAGGGAGAGCACACAGTTTTTGATGTTTCACCCCCCTCAATGCTTGTATCTATAGAGCACCACCACCTTGTTATCTCCCAACAGTTCCAGGTTCGTTTAAGCTACTCCTAGGATGTGAAATGCATTGATAGCTTCATATATTTGAATGAGTAGCTATTATTTAGTATTGACTTTCGGGTTCTTTTGATTCTTAAAGAGAGAGCAGTTAAAAAGGCTTACATTTTTCTGTAAGAAATATTCTAAACTATCATTTTAGTGCATTTTTATAATATTATAATTTAACATAAAAATTAGACTTCAAATTATACTGTATTTTGCAACTCAAATCAAGGAAGTATTTGGCATGTGCTAGAAGCAAGTTCAAGAATTGTCAGTTGAGAGTCCAAGTAATGTCAATGGGTCTGGACACGTGTCTTAAATTAAGGGTACATTGAAGAAGTATGTTACAAATATCGTGAATATCATATAGACACATCGCGCATAGAAATAGATTCATTATACTTTCTTGACTACTGATTATCTTAGAAACACTTCTATATTTTCTCAGTCTTCTTCACCAGTTGCTAAGAAATATACGATATTTAATCACTTCAGTATCAAGTTGGGACATGCAATTGTAAATAAACATGGATTTAAGAAGCCTGAATTTGCTTCAGACTCTTGGTGCCTTGTTTTCTGTGTGTTACTCATAATTGAAATGCTGAATACCAAGTTGTCGGCTTGGCATATTTGGAATTCTTTTGTGTTGGGTAGATACAAGTATGGGGATGTTTACCTCTGAGCACTCAAGTTAAAGTTCATTATCTCAACTTTTCTTCATCTTAACCACTAGCTCCATCTTGCTCTGCCCTCTTCAATTTACTGGACACACATCCAACGGTGGAGCCTGAGGGGGGGGGGGTAATGTTTTACAAATATTAGTATATATGATAGTTCTTTTTCCACATGAGTCTCTCAGATCTTTCATATTGTAATTACTCCCTAAAAATTTCATATTTGAAATTAATCCACCAAATCTTTCATATTTGCAATTAGTACCCCAAAGCTTCATATTTTGCAATTAGTCCCCCAATAAATACTTTGAAGTGATTGAATATCCTTCGTTACATTTAGTACCTAAATTGTGAACGATGATTGGATAGTGGTTAATCGGGAATGGATAATTATTGATCAATCAAAATCAACATTGAATTGCACTAAAATCAGGCTCAAATTCATTAGTTTTACGTCTAATTTTGCATAATATTTTCCTAACCTTGTACTTCAGTGAAGTTTTTCCGTTGTTAAGGTTTGAGTGCATGTGGGTATAACTGGTATCACACCTAGAATTGATAAAGATGACAAAATATTTTCTCAATTCCAACCAACCTTTATATAGTGGGACTAGTTTTAAATCACTTAAAAGATTTAGAATATGGAAAGAAAAGCCTACATATATACATTCATCAATCTTTCATGTGGTTTCTTTGCATTTTAAGTATAATAATAATAGGGAAATGGGGATTCAATTTCCATTTACTTTTGGTAGAAATTGTAAATGAGATTTATATTTTTATGTGGTTTTATACTTTTGTGATAGAATTGTGAAATGACATTCTTTCAAATTTCATAAAGTTTTATACTAGGAAATAGAGATTTGAAATGTTTTTTTTTACATTCATGTACTTATGAAATTATTTTATGAATTCGATAGTTAAAATTGTTTCATTTGTTCTTCTTATTATTCCAAATAAGTTTAACAGTGTATGTTATTCATGTATTTTCAATTTGTCAAGTCCTCAAAAAGATTATAAGTTGTAGTTTGTGGTTACGGAAAAACCAATTACAATCGAGATACTTTGAAAAAAGACTTTAGAAGATTGAAGTGTGCTAATTCAACGATAAGTGCATATGTTGAAATGAATAAGTATTCACGAATTCTTTATGAAAAACTTTTACTTCAAGTTCTTCTTTCATCTACTTCGCATCTGAAATTTATTGTCATGCGTTGTATGGTGATTGTATTTTGGCCCAATCCTGGCTCTACCACTGTACACATTGGGAGTAAATCCTAATAATCGATAGATTATAGTAGTTGCATGCAAGGTTGGAAGTTTTCCAGTTAAGTAGAACAAAATATTGGTTTTAACAAACCCTGTAATTAGAAATCCTGCCTTTCCATTCTAAGTAATCAGACATAGCCTTGCTATTTTTAATATGTAATTAGAAACCCTGCATTTTGATTCTAAGTAATCAAACATGACGTAGTTATGTTTAATAGCTCGCACAGTTTCTACCATTAAGACAGAGGTTTGATCATAATCCTCGTTATCAGAAATCATATGCTAATTTTCGTACTACTACAGCCTCCTATCCTTTATTGCAGCTTTTATATTCATGGTTTCAAACTTTTGAACAGGTTACTGGATTCTCTGTTGGAGGGCGTGTAGTTGATACCAATGGCATTGGAGTTGAGGCTGTTAAAATCATAGTAGATGGTCAACAGAGGGTCACAACTGATAGTCAAGGATATTACAAACTTGATCAGGTATATATCTATTACTTCATGGAATAACTCTTAAATTTGTTTTACTTCATTAGTATTTTTTGATAGTCTTTATTTTGTCAGTTTTAGAATCATCTAATTTAGTGCCCTGCTTGTTTATAATTTGCTTTTGTGATTCCAAACATATATGAACCCTGTTACTCATTACTAGTAAGCCATAAGCCAGGTATTAGGATTTACTTCTTAACTTATTTTTTATCATGTCTTCCATTAGCTGGGTCTTGGTTGAAGGTTCTAATAATCAATATTTCATTCTTGATGCAGATTTATAAGATGTGTTGCTGTGTTTTCTGTAGATTCTTACTTTCCTTTTATTATTTATGCCTACAACAATCTCAGGCATCGATGCATTTCTTTCTTATCTTGGTCCTCTTGGATGAATATCTCTTTAGTTTCTGTTTATGGGTTAAACCAGATCTATTAGTTAATTCTAATCAAAAGTTCATCTCTACAATATGTTTGGATAAAGTCTTGATTTAGTACTCTAGTTGGAGGGATGGCCCTATCTACCTCGCTTGTATTTGCTTTGATTTATTTTTTAACTATTTCATATCATGACTAACTAATTGTCCATTTTGCGCCTATTCATGATGTTTCAAAATTTTTGAAATACTTGATTTTTGGCTTAAAAAATTCCAATGATAATGATTAATAAATAGAGCCAACCTTTTGTATGGATGTGCAAATATCAAATTTTAATGGAAAATAGTTGACTGTAAGTCCTTCTGACATAGGAAAGGGTCCCCCTCCCTTCTTTCTCACATACACATTGGCTAGTGTTTCTCCAGTGAATGTACATAGCTAGATTTGACATATATCTTATCTTCTATTCTCCATAGCAATATATGGTCAAAATTTTCAAATGTTATATAATCACAAAGAATGAAGTAATCGTGGGCCTTGTGTTATCAATGCGCGAGGCGCAATGTGGGGCACAAAGTCTCACACGTTCATGGCAAAGCGCAATGCGATGCACGCCCCGTAGTGAAGCAAGGCGCAAACTGCACACATAAATTTTCAAGACAGATAATCAAGCACGAAAGAATATATTTATGTATTTTCACATAAAATATGTCAAGTTAAATAATATATACTACAAAATCACTAAATAAAGAATTAATTCCTAATGCTAACATATCCAACATTACAGCGAAGTTCATAATTTACCAAAATTAAAAGTCAAATCAAGAGTAATATCGAAATATAAGTAGTAAATGAGAACCATTTAGGATGTATTTTCACATAAAATATGCCAAGATATATAAGATATTCTACGAAATCACTAAGTAAGGAATTAATTCCTAATGCTAACATATCCAACATTACAGCGTAGTTCGTACTTTTCCAAAATTAAAAGTCAAATCAAGAGTAATATTGAAACAAGGGTAGTAAATGAGAACTAGTTAGGATCGTCAATTGGGCTACTAAAAAGGCCTAACGAGTTTATTTTACTTTTTTGAGATATGAAATATTGGGTATAAAGACCCAATTGAAATGTTAAAGAACACAAACATACTTGGGTATGCGTTGCATGCGTCTTGCAGGTAGCACAGTTGTTTGCGTGGCGCAAAAAGCGCTGTTGCATTAGATGTGGGGCGCTTTTCCACCGTACCGCATCACAGGACACATGAGGTGCGGTGAGGCACGTGCCTTTGATAACACTGAGTGGGCCAAAGTTGAACAGGGCAATAGTGTTAAATTTCTCTTTTTTGACTTTTAATGACAAAAGTGTAGTTTTAACTTATATGTATGTCTGTGGAGTGTTCTCAAAATAAGCATAGTGTTAAAACTCTTATGTTGAGCCATATTTTAGAAGAACCATACCATTCATCTTAATCTACACATCCTAAATAGTCTATGGAAGAAATATCAGGAAGTTTGACAACATCTTACTTATGCTTCAAATGGTTACGTTTGTATATAGCTTAAAGAATGTGCTTTTTGCAACTAGTTTTGAACATGATGACAGTAATAGGACTAACTCATTGCCTCATAGGCTAATTAGGGTACGGAAAACAAGATGAATGGTGTAGATCCTCGATAAGATAGCCTTTTATGGATTCACGCAAAAGTTATCCCATGGAGTTCTCATTAAGAATTTTCCCTATATATGGAAGATACGTATGTGTGCGTATGCACATGCATGTGTTTATGTAAACTTCTGTCTGAATTTCGTTTTATTATTTTTATCTCAGTTTGGTTTTTGTTCATCTACATTGTTAGCTTGTTTTCTTCTTTGTTATATGTGTGGTTTTCATATTATACTCCACTCTGTTAGTGTTTCTTCTTTCTTGATGATATCACTTCCCCATAAAATATTGTTTTTCCAGGTTACATCCAAACGATACTCAGTTATAGCTCAAAAGGACCACTATAAGTTCACTACTCTTGAGAATTTTTTGGTAAGAAACCCAACTAACTTTTCTTTCGCATGCAATATCGCTTATACTTAAGTATAATATCTCTACACTAGTATGCAGCTGTAGAATGATTTTTCTTGCCTTACGAAAAATTGATAACTTTAGTATTCATATTAGGTTCTGCCAAATATGGCTTATGTTGACGAGATTAAAGCCATCTATTATGACATCTGTGGCGTTGTTCAAATGGTTACTGGAAATTCAAAAGCGAAGGTACTTACAAACTTTACTTGTTTCTGATTTGGTTTTGAGATCATTACACAATTTATTCATGTTTTTTTCAGGTAGCATTGACACATGGACCAGAGAATGTGAAGCCTCAGGTGAAGCTAACTAATGAGGATGGGAGCTTCTGTTTTGAGGTATTTGTCATGTCAGGATTAGTTAGCTCACCTCTCATTTAATGTTTTTAAGTCTAAATTATTTTTATTTGCCTTTTCTCTTTGTATTTGATGGAAATTCTTTTATAGGGAAACTACTTCCACCTTCTGGGAACTTGATTCTATGAGTTGCCCCTAGTTAATGGTGAAGAACCCTCCACCTTTTTAGATCTTCACTTCATCCCTTAATGCATCACTTTATTATTTGAAAATCTAAATACTGTCATTCTCTCTCTCTCTCTCTCTCTCTCTCTCTCTCTCTCTCTCTATTCTATTTTTTCTTTCATCTCTTCCACGAACTCATCCACCTACCATGAATCCTCACCCACACTGCAATTCCATCTATCTCTGTCCCACCTATCCACCCTACACTTCCATGCCCATCGTCTTCCTGCTTTCTAGCATCCCGCCCATTCAGCGCCTCCCATCTGCCTTTCCACCCCACTTAACCACACTCTTATCACCCCTATATCCTCCAGCCACTCACCTATTCCATTCTTTACCCCCTCTTCGCATCCCTCCTCTTCCCTACTATCTTGCCTGTCCACCCTTCCCCTTCCTCTAAACTGTCCATCCTTCCATCCTACCTTTTAGTATACCAGCCTTTATATGTATACACTTAAAAACAATTAAATTTATAGATGGATACACACACGCACACACACTAAAAGATAGGTGATATTCAAGATATAGAGAGTGCATTGAAAAATATTTTATTATGCTAAAAAGTAGATATTGTAATTTAAAGCTAGAAGATATTACAGAAAGATGTTATTTATGCTAAAAGGTATATAGAGTAATTCAAAAGCAGAGAGTATTTATAAATGTGATCATATATGTTAAAAGGTAGATAAAATTATAGAAAATATGAGCAAAAGGTCGTTACTCATACTAAAAGTTGTAAAGTAGATAAAATCATTGAAAATCAGAGAGTATTAGTGAAAACCTGTAATCATATTTACTCAAAGTTTGATATAATCAATTAATCATTAAACTGTAGAATATATTAGTTAAGACATATAGTCATTTATACTAAAAGATGGATAAAATCATTCAAAAACAGTGAGTATTGTCTTTTATAAGTTTCTAACTTTTCTTTGATTTTTATTTCTTTCATATATCTCTACCTACCTTTCATATTTTTTATTTTCCACAGATTTGTATCAATATATATATATATATATGAAATATTTCTTTTAATTTCACGTGAAAAAGTAAAATAATTTATTGTCTATATACTATATAGTTAATCAAAAGTATTAAAATTTCCATAGCCAAAGTCAAAATTATACGACCAATTCACATTAAGTACAATTTAAATAGTACATGAAGGTCAAGAACCTTTTATTAAAAAAATAATTTTTATGCAAATATTTTCATTCTCATCGCAATCCTATGTTTTAATCTTATAATTTGCATGAATTCATAGTATTTTATACCCTTTACAATTTTAATAATTAAATTCCACTTTAATGTTATATCTCATGAGGCTAATAGGGCTCCTAAGGAAAGATCGTATACCAAAAACCATGGATCTTAATTATAATAATTTTTCCAAGGTAATATTATTATATTCTATATGTTTATGTTCTGGATTGTCAAAGCAAGCTATGAAATGACTAATTAACATTTTTATGCTAGTATGTATGTTTTTCTTGGTAGAATGAGTTGTTATTTTTTGAGACATAAAATTGGTTTATAGCTAACTTTGACAATTTCACGTAATTAGAGATTTTCTCATGTCTTTAAATTATGTTTATTTTTTTAATGAGCATAAGATTCCTATTTACTTGAAGATCCTTCTCCATTTCATACGATTAATCTTGTATTTCAGAGCTTTTTAGCTCAACTACTTCAGTTATAACTTCTATCAGGATTCATCTCTATTTCTTAGTATGTAGGGGTTAGTGTTACTCTGATGGGATCTAGTTATTCCAATTCAAGTCTGTCGAAATAATTGCAAGTGGTGAAGACCATAAATCTTTTTAAAAGGATATATTTCATTAACATACCTATTGAACATTTCAAAGGCTCGCAATTGGTGATGACCCTAAATATTTTAAAATGATATATATTGAACATCTGATGATCAAAACATCAAAAGAACTTAAATGTGGCCACAACTAATTTATACCACTTTTCGTGCATGTCTATAAATTATAACATTAGAAATATAAATTATTTAAAATGAAATGCATTAAGTTAGACTTTAGTTTTAAATTAAGAGCCCTTATTTGAATAATATTAGATGCATAATTTCTTTGACTTAACATACATATTGAACATTTCAAAAGTCTAAATATCTAAATTTTCACTTTTCAAACTACCTTTTTCAGTCATAAAAAATAAAAAAAACTTTTCTACTAAGTTGGCTGCTTATAGTAAAATATTGTATTTTTCTTATTTGATATAGTAAATTATTAAACAAACGATATATCTCATGTTTAGTGCAGATAACTTTACAAATAAAGTAAAATATTTTAAATGCTAAATATCAACAAAAAAAACCCCGTTAACTTTGGATGATAATCAGATAATCCCGTATAACTTTAAAAATATCAAAAAGTCCACTATATTTTAGGGTTTATCGAAAAACCCCTGTAACTTTGAGATTTTTATCAGGAAATCACTCCAAAAGCGATTAGGGGCATTTTCTATCAAAATCTCAAAATTGAGGTTTTTTTTGAAAAGATCTAAAGGTTAAAGGGGTTTTCTGATAATTACTACTTAATAAGATTTTATAACATTATATCTAAAAAATAATGGATTAATTTTATAAAAACCCCCTCAACTATTTTAAGATGAGGAAACCCTCTCAAGTTAAGCATATTGTAGATAACCCCCCTCAACTATTAAACTTTGAAACAATCCCTTGAACTTTCCTCACTTAACTCAAGAAAAACTCCTCAACTATTTTAATTTGAGAAACTCCCTCGGATTTGAGCTTAATATAGATAACCCCCCTCAAGTTTGAAAATTGAGGAAATCACGATGAACTCTTCTCACTCTATGCCTTGAAAGCTAACATTGTTATCCTAATAACCCTATAAGTTTACATTTTTTCACTTATTCTCACTCTATGCCTTGAAAGCTAACATTGTTATCCTAATAACCCTATAAGTTTACATTTTTTCACTTAACCTAAAACATTTTTTGAAAAAACAACATTGTTATCCTAATAACCCTATAAGTTTACATTTTTTCACTTAACCTAAAACATTTTTTGAAAAAACCCCAAACATCAGATGTTTTTACATTTGAAATTTTAGAGGTTTTTCATAATTATTAAAATTTTCAAGAGGTTGATTATAATTTTTAGATGTTTAGGAGATTTGCCTCTAATTATAGATTTTTGTGGGGGTTGTTTGTACTTTATATATTCTTGGGGTTTTTAGTAATTTTCTTGATGGTACTTTGCAATTTTTTAATTTAAAGGCTTTGTTTATAATTTTTTATATTTTTAGGGGTCTGTATACAATTTAAAAAAATTTAGGATGCTATTTGTCATATTTACTTTTATTGGATTTATTGTTATTTTTATATTTTAGGTGTTTTTTTGGAAATTTGAACTTCTAGGGGTTTGTTTTTTCATCTTCAAATTTTAAAGGAGGTTGTTTTACTTTTTAAATTTCACATAGGTTGTTTATAACTTATACAATCTTTATAGATTATTTATAATTTTAGAATGATAAGAGTCTTTTTCACATTTTTAGATTTTCTAAGGGTTTTGCAATTTCGTGGAACCCTCAAAATTAACATAAAGGTAAATCTCACTAAGCCCCCAATAATTTTACTATTTAGAACTAAATATCAAATATCTTTAAAACTCCAACTAAATGCCCAATAATTTTTGACAGAAAATCCTCAAAAGTAATATCATTAATTCATGTGTAGTCAGATGACCAAAGTACACCCCAATTCACTTAAGCCCTAGCAATTTTTAATAAAAACCCAAAATAATAGTCATTTATGATTTTCAGATTTTTTAGAGGTTGCTTTTATTTAATGGAATTTTCAAAAGGTTGATTGTAATTTTTAGATTTTAGAAGTGCGTCTAATGTTTGATCTTTTGGAGGGTTGTTTTTACTTTTTATAATTTTTTAGGTTTTTGTAATCTTTTCAGGGTTTCTCTGTAGTTTTGTAACTTAAGGGGTCAATTTATTATTTTTAGGATGTTTAGGGGGCTGCTTGTAAATTAAAATTTCTAGGATTCCATTTATAATATTTTACTTTTTATGAGATTTTTTGTAATTTTCATATTTTTCGCATGTTTGTTTGAAATTTTGAAATGTTAAGGGTTGTTTATAATTTTAATTTTTAAAGGGGTTTGTTTGCATTTTTTGGATTTTTAAGAAGTTTTGTGTAATTTATAAATTTTTTTTAATTTTTAAAGGGGTTTGTTTGCATTTTTTGGATTTTTAAGAAGTTTTGTGTAATTTATAAATTTTTGTGTGTTATTCATAATTTTATTTTTTGGATTTTTAAGAAGTTTTGTGTAATTTATAAATTTTTGTGTGTTATTCATAATTTTAGAACTTCAAAAGTATTTTTTTTCAATTTTAAGGTTTTCAAGGGTTTTTTTCATATACTATGCTTGAGGATTAATTTTAACCAATGTGAAATTTTAGGATAACGCCATTTTGGAACTTAAGTGTAAAAAGTCAAAATATTTTTGTTGCTTTATGAAATTATCTAATTTAGTAAGGATTTGATGAGAATTATAGATATTTTAGGAGTTTAATGCTCAATTTAAAGTTCTGAAAGGTTCATTGAAATTCACTTTTTAAAATAATTAAGGGGGGACAATGATAATTTTTTTGGTTTTTAATTGTGATAGTTAGAACTTGTTTAGAATTAACAAAAGTTTGATTATCATTATTTCTACTTGTCTGGGAATATGAATTTCTAGTAATGGATATGAATAGTTTTAATTTAATAAGAATTCGTATGAAAATAGAATTAGTTGGATACATGTCATTTTT